TTCCCTAATAATATAAATAGCAGAGATCATATACTAATCTCAAACTTGTTGCTTTTATTTATTTATAATTTAAAAGTTAGAGGAAAAAAGGTTTCTCTAAGAGAGTCCTTTACAGTAAATTTAAAAAATGTACAATGAAAAAAAAAACAAAATAAAAGAGAGTCCTTTACAGTAAATTTAAAAAATGTACAATGAAAAAAAAAACAAAATAAATTAAAGCAATAGTAATATTTCTTCCTTGAACTGAAACAGTTTTATCATTATTCCTAATGTTATACAGTCTGAATATTAACAAGATTTATAGTAATTCTCAAATATATATATTTACATACATATTTGTGCACATACATGTACACATGCACAGATTTTGAAGGAGGACAAATGCTGGGGTGATTTTTTTTGATGCAGTTGTATAATAGTGAATAGCAATTCTGCAGGAGTCTGGATGAAGGAAGAAAAACTACAACTTCCGAGTAGAGTCACAGGAGATCTTAAAATAGATACTTTCTGAAGATTCAATTTAGCAAGGCCAGCGTGATTAACGCTCTTCATCTTATGAAAAGTGCCACTGGCCCGTAATGACTACAACTGGTTAAGACCTGTGTTTCATATCTCATTCGGAGCATATTCCCCTCCAGCAATACAATTCCCTTTGCCATCCTGCTTGGGAATGCGTTCAGGAGTGACTCCAAGGGAACAGTGCCATCTGCTGAATGAATTACCAGAATGCTTCCCGCACTACCTTCATGTATGTTGGTGGTCTGCCATCTAAATACCAAAGCTTAGCTTCTGGGGGCAGGTGGTAATGTCTGCAAGGTATTTTTTATTGCACACAAAAACAGCCAAAATCAGCTGCCGGCTGCTTCTTGGCATAAATTCTCCTCATCCTGGATAGAGGATTTTCAGTATCCTTTTTGACGTGTTTACACTAATCCAGAAAACCAGGATGTGTTTACTTGCTGAGCAGGAATACTTTCTTCATGGTTGTTTTAGGTATTTTTTTGAAACTCTTGGTATTGGTGAGAAGTGCTGTATGATTTCCTTTTAGACGTCAAGCCTCAGCTAAAGACTGGTGAAATAACTCCTGTTGGTTTGGGGGCCGAGGGTGAAGGTGGAGTTGGAGCAGGCCTTTGCTGGTTTGCATTAAATATCAGAAATGCATTATCCAGAGTTTTAACTCTGCACACTTTTTCTGTATTCTCTGAAGATGTGAATTTAAGAAAACAAATATTATTGCTGCTGGTTATGACTCACATTTTTTTTTAATTTTAATTTTTATTGTGCACTGAATGGTACCTGTCAGGAACCCTTCAGTTGGTGTTCACACGTGGCCTGATTCTGCATAGATTTTCGAAACAGAATTTTCAGTTTAAGGCTTGCCTTGGCTAGATGGATTACAAATGAGGAAGATGCATAGTGGAGGGAGAAATGCAATACTTCAGTACAACGCAGAGCACTGCAAAATATATGTTGTTCAGTAGACTCATCTTGATGCACATTGAGAGCATCAAGCGTGAAATGATAACAGAAAATAACCCTTTGTAGCTAAAAAATAACACAGCTCAGAGAGTGACATACTGGGAAGAGAAAGCTTTACAGAAACTAGCATGCTAAAGTTCATGAGGACAGATAATATCTTTTATTAGAAATTTAGGATGTCTGGAAAAGAGACAAACTTAAGTACACAAACACCTTTTTGCTGACCTGTAAGTTATGACACATTTGATTGTTCTGGAACACAATATCTCTCTACCTGAGATTATGGCCATTCAGAGGGTAAGGCTAACCAGACAGTGGGTGAGATCCCAAGGAGTATCTTACATTTTAAGTCATGGTTTCAAAAATAAGACCTGGATCAGACTTCCAGCTTTTCCCTGGACATCCTCTCTGTTCCTCAGCCTCCCACTTTGAAAATAACAATAGGGAAACCTCTTAAGAAGGTAGCTATGAGAATAAATGCACCACCTCAGAGTTTGTGAGATACTTTTATCTATACTATTGCAAGTTTAATAACTACCTTTTTAGAAAGACTGTCCCAAACTCTTTCAGGGCAAGGTTGTTGGCAACATTTCTGTCTGCTTGTATAGTTTCTCTCCAGCTCACAGAAAGATACAGCCCCAGTCAGGACTTCTGCAGCAGCCCATGGCTCTTTGCTAGGCCAAGCTCAATATCCTGAGAACTCCTCATACAGCAGGAGCATGTTGCATATATGAAAGACTTTTTGTTTATGTGTAGATAAGAGTCAACAATCAGAGCCTGTATGTTGAGCGGCAGTCAGAGGAGGCACTGGGTGCTAGAGCCTATTTACATTGCAGATAAACACACCCTTGTACAAACACCTTGAACAAACCCTCTGGAGCAGCCGGCACCTTGGTACTTCCTTCCAACTGTTTTACTCTAGAGCCTGCAAGGAAAGCAGTCCAGCAATATAGTTAACAATGAGCTTGGTCCTGGTCCCCAGCTCAGATTTGTGGCCGTCCTGCAGTTTAGGCATAGCCTGTGTGGCCGTGCAGCAGTGAAACAAGAATTAGGAAAAGGCAAGTAAGTATAAGGAAATCCTGAGAGCCTTGGAAGTCACTGGCAAAATCCCAACATAGTCAAAATGTTACCTACAGTGTCTTGATACCATTTATACCTCAGTAAAGTAGGACTAAACTCATTAGACAGTTGAGAGAGTGGTAAAATTGGCATGAAGGTAGAGTTGAGTTCAAAAGTATGGTAACTGTACCGCAGGAAGAACACCACTCTGGAATTAATTAAATTTACTAAGTTCAGTGACATTTTATAATGTAACCTTCTAATTACTCTGTAGACTGCACATTGTGAATTTTCAGATGCTAGAAGCTGGGGCTAAAATACTAAAATACACATATAGAAAATGTTGGGGTGGTATTTTTCATCCTGAAACATGTAACCTTTGCGACTAATGCTTATATTATATTTTCAGGCTTTGTCACTGCTAAGAAAAATGCTTAGTTTTTAACTGCATTAATTTTTTCAATAAGTCAATGATATAAGTGATCAGCTGTTCTGAGATACGGTCTATAAGTGTTCATGCTTGTTTTTGAACAGCATAAATGTATATGGCTCCAATGTGATACTGTATGTTACAGAAACAAGTTATATGAATGCCAGATTGCTATCAAAGACTTTTCTCTTTGGTGCAGTAAGTGTCTTTCTGCTATGACTGGAAAGAATAAGTGTCATTAACTCCCAATAATGCCAATATTTTCTAAGATCATCTGTCTAACACAGGAGGCAAAGAGGTTTCTGGATGTGAATCTAAATTTATGTTTCAGCTGCAGAAAATTTATGTTTCAGCTGTTTTTTTTTACACTGTATTGTGAAGCTTGAGTCTGGTTTGCAGAGTTTTAGTATAAACTCTGTATGTATCCATTGCAGTAGAGGTTGAAGGTGAAGAAATGATAATCTGATACTTGAAATAAAGTGATTTTGCTAACAGACCAGTGATCATTGTCTGTTTATACAGGAATAGTGGCTAAAGCTTTGCTGAGTCTACTCCATAGCTTGATGAAACAGCTTTTCACATGGGAAGTGGATGTGCCTGAATAATCTTTAGGCTAGTCAGTGAGGAGAAGATTTAACTTTCTGTAGTTTAAAGTAGTGTTTTTGACATTGTCTCTGTGATGCACCGACAGAGTTAAATGTTATTAGGACCTAGATTCACTAAGGCAGAAAATAGGATGGCATATACATAAGTGAGGAGATTGCATAGTACAGTAAGAAATACTGAAAATGTGTCCTGGCTTCGAATGACCTTGCTCTGACACCATGACACAATGACACAATCTTATCCTCAGGAGAAGTGGATTTTTAAAGCCTATTATTAACTTCCTATGGGCCAAACAAGCAACTAGAGAATTAGAGTCATTTGTGGATGTTGATTTCTTTCTCTTCTTGACACTTTTCCCCCTGCTGATTCTTCCTAGTGCCTGGAGCCCTGCAAAGAATCTTGGGACTTGAGGAAAAACCACTGCCAAAGTTTCTGTGAGGTATGTCAGCCCAAAGGCACTCTTTCTCACTTTGTTCTAGCTGTCTCTTTCATTTATATTACTAGAGGTGTGCAGTTTAAGGAGACAGCTGGCTAACAGGACTTACATAGCATTCCACTTTATTCGAATAGATACACATATAAGAATTAAGCCATGTTATGTTTGTGTAAATTTTTTTCTTTCCCCCTTTTTTTTTTGTGTTCTGATTTATGTCTACATCAAGCTTTAAGCGTTGATCCAGGCTGACTTACAATATAACTTCTTCTCTGAGAAGGTGCTGTTAATTCCCTTCTGTAAGTTGCTATTTCTATCACATATCCTTCGGACCTTCCGGCCATATGAAAGAAAAAGAGTGTCTTTTAAACAGATAAAATATCACACGTATGAAAATCCTTTTGCAGGGTTGCTGGAAAGGTGGACTTCCCTGTATATGAAAGTCAGTTCATGATTTTTAAAAGAATAACTGCTTAGGAATAACACTGTTTAAGAATGGACACTTATTTCAGAAGATTAGTATCAAAATATATAATTATTGAGGAACAAGTCAGGAACAAGAGAAACTATTTCTGCATAGCATTTCAGAATAACTTTATGTATAAACAAAGCCTTGATCAGTTAAAGTATTACGAAAAATGAGACAATTTTGTTGGGTTTGAAACATGGCTTCTACTGAATTGGTGGACATCAGTTGTTTACAGTTTTTAGCTGATTTTTAGTATGAAATGAAAACATTATCTCAATAGAAGGTTGGTTTGTTATAATTAAATCAGTATGAAGATACTTCTTTATTAAAATCGATGAAGTTGTCCGTTTATAAAGATTTATAAAGATTTTCAACTTTGCCTATTAAAAAAATAGAAGTGACCTGAACTAATACACTGATTTAACTTCTCCCTCATCACTGTGGACATTCTCTTTCTGGTATAAGAACATGTACTTTGTTTACTTTATTTTAAATATCATAAACATGTTTAAGAAAAGGTATAGTTTCAACTAAAAAGTCTTTTTTATATCCAAATAACTATATGTAAAGAGGGATTCCTGCATAACTAATCTATTTAATTTTGTTAGTGTAACAAGTAAAATATTCATATGAAAACCAATTATTGTAAGATTTCTTTAACCATAATCAGCTGCTACTTCCTCATATACAGAACTCTATGGTAGTATAATAAAGTAGTTTAAGTGCTTCTAATTTATGTCACCCTCATGTATCACTTTTCACTCTGGCTGTATGTTTCCAGATATGGGTGTAAATATGTATAAATTTATTTTAAAAAGAAAACATTTGTAGAACGCTGTTCTGTTGTAGTTAAAAACAGTGAGCATCCCTCTCTGATTAGTGTTTTGTGGTTGAAGCTAAATTTAGAACTTCAAAGGCCAGTAACGAAGAGCAGCACGTTTAGCAGCTAACTGAAAAATGAGCTGTGAAATAGGGTGAGGAAGAGAAGCCTTGAGGATGTATTGTGCCTCAGGGAGCTATAAAGTTTTTAATTAAGTAGCTGCAAATTTGTGATGTTTTAGGATTTGAAATTAGCCACACACACACACACACACACACACACACACACACACACACACACACACACACACACACACAAGCATGTACACACACATACGCGTATGCAAGCAAGCAAGGGGCCATTCTCCTTTCTCTTAAACTCATCTATGCCCTACGGACGTTGTTTGACTGAATTAAACCAGAGTCTTTTCTTTTGAGAGTTTTCAAATTTTTTTTTTTGCACTTACTACGAAGCTTGGAAGCAGCAATTTAGCTTCAAATTTCTCAGGGTCCCCACTTTGGAAGTAATTTCTTATCTACTGAATCAGTCTGTTAAAGGAGCCTTACAGGTAAAGACTACCTTTGACCAACATGCAGAAGAAAACTGTGGTTCCACTTCTGCTACCAAATGAAAGAGGCACAGGTTTTCATTTCGTTTATGCAAGAGATCCTGTACATGGTATGTTAACACTGCAGGATATGGTTTTGTTACTTAGCTAAGCCTGGCTCACAGCTACCTACTGCTTAAAATGGGGGTCAAGTGCCCCCCCTCCCCCCAAATGCCTTCTGTGGTTCATTCTCATCTTCTCCCTAGGACCAGCACCGTTGCTCATCTGACTATTTGCTGTTACTGAAGTTTAGCTGATTACATTTTTTCCATAGAGTTAGTTTCTTGCTAGTTTGGCCAACTGTGGGATCAGATAAGGGCCAGTTCCAGGGGGAACAGTGGGTGTGCACATCTGGGGATAATGGGATCAGTAGGAAAGGAACCAGGACTGCCTATTTTGGTGGCACTAACCTTTAGACTGTTTCACCCAACTGCATCCTTAAGAGTCTGATAGAAAAATTTTGGACTGTTGAAGGAAAAAGTGACAGAGGTAACTTTGTGGCACCTCCACATTCCTGGACCGTATTGACTTTGGAGCATAAACTGGCATATACTCAATGACCCATTTGGGCCTCATTACTCGTGAAAGAGGTCAACAGTCTCTTTCATTTTGCCAAAATATGAGAATACTATAAATTCACATTTGAGTATGGAAGAAAGCAGTGAAGTTGTAGAAGCTGTAGGACTAGTTAGATGGAGGTGGGTTATAATTCCTGTGTAGGCTTAGAAATCTATAAATCAGATTCTTCAGAGAGGAAAGGTTTTGATTCCTCTAAGATAGAAAGAAAAGTTATAGATAATCCCAGTTGCATGGGTTACCTACCCAAAGTTCCACCAATAACTTTGAGGGACTCACTTTTGCCTTTTCTGCACCAATGTAAACAAAATACCAGCCAAGAAGAGATGAAATCCCTCTGTCACACACACTGTTTTCCCCAGTGCCCTAGATGCTATTATTTTTTGATATAGCTTTAAATGAACATTGTGCACCTTTGAGTAGTACACCTATGCTATAAAATGTCTGTGCTTTAAAGAAGTGACTCTACGACCTGATTTCTCAAAGAGGTAGCATTTATTTTGATCTTGAATCAACATATTTAGTTCTTATTTTAGTCTGCATTTTCCACCAATCGTTTTATCAGAAATTTGGTTCCAGTTCCATAAAGAGTTTTACAGTTACGAAATACATTGGCAAGAACATAAAGATACTGCTAAATCCTGTCTACTCGTTTTGAACAGTATAATGAGGCAAGATTTAGCTTATTTATCTAGAGTGGCATTACATCAGATATTGTGGGTAAAGTGTCATGAGATACAAAGAGAGGAATGTGGGGCAGTCCAAAGAAAAGACTGTCTGACCATTGTTTCCCCTTTGTGCTGTGAATGTTTTTAATCTGTTATTGAGCAACTTTGTAGCCAGGCAATGTGAAGAAAACCCAAGAGAAAGCTGGCAAATATAAACAACCTTATTCCTTAAAAGATGGTGGTCTTGCTTGTGGGAATTCATCATTCTGTGCTTGGAATGCTCTTTTAGAAATGACTTAAAGAATAAATCTTCAGGGACACTCTTGCAAAAGCTGAAAATCTGAATTTTGTTTTAGGAGGTCTTGGAAAATGTACAACATTTTTTCTTTTTTTCCTGCTGAAAACTTTGTACAATTGTTTTGTTTTTCCCTTTAGCCTCTTTTCCCCAAGAAGAATTATGAATGCCTAACTAGCTGTGAATTCCTTAAGTACATCCTGTCTGTGAAGCAAGGGGACTGCCCAGCACCTGAGAAGGCCAGTGGTTTTGCAGCTGCCTGTGTTGAAAGCTGTGAAGCTGATAGTGAATGTTCTGGAGTGAAGAAATGCTGTTCCAATGGATGTGGACATACGTGCCAAGTTCCAAAAAATCTGTACAAAGGTAGAGATTATTTCTAGGTACTCATACTGGGCTAATAATTTCAGACCATAATAAAGCCTCCTAGAAAACCAGGCCTTTCATTTTGTAGAATTTTGTATGGATAGGGAGACTAAGACGATTTTGACGATCTATCTGAACACTGAAAGAAGGATAGAAAGACAAAGAAAAATGAAGCCTGAGTTTCTGAAATTTGTTTTTTCCCTTGTGCAGCCCATGTCTGGAAATCTGTGGAACATAAAGATGTGGCTGTTATGAATCATCTTAAGAAGAACAAACTTGCCAGTTTAGGTGAAATCCCACTTAATTTGATGCAGATGAGAGAAATAAGTGCAACAGGAAAATATTTGAAGACAAATAGTGCATATCCTATTAATCACAGATAACCTTTATGATTATGAGCCAAGTAGGTGAGACTGCGAAACAGGATGTGTGAGATAATCCAGTAACACAACAGACAAATGCAATGTATTTGGAACTGGTGTGTTTAATGACCTAAGAACAAAATAGTGAAAAATGCTAATATCCATATATATATTACTTCATTATTTGAAATCCAAAGCATCATGACTTACTCAAAAGTTTTTATTTGCTTTGATTTAAATCCTGAGATTCTGTAAAAAATGGCTTTCCTTGCCATCCATCAGCAAGGCTTTGTAGCTTAAGGAATGATTTGTGCTTCGACAAACTCCAGATTTTAATTTGTTACCATTTAAAACAACGTTGTACATGGAAATATTCTGAAAATGTGCTTCTAACATGGAATAATGACCATATATAAAAGGCATTTTCTCATTCCGTGGAACTGGAATATTTTGTTAAAAATCAATTCTCCTTACTTTAGTGATAAAAAATACATACTAATCAGTTACACTTCTGATAGCATAGGCTCTTTTTGGAGAGCCTAATCAGCAGAACTCTGAACTAAGCTTCAGGCTTAGGTCTGAGTTCAGACTTACTTCCATCTGTGGAGCTCGAGGTGTTTGCAGCCTTAAAACCACTGAGGATGAATATGTTTGAGTAAGGTCAGAAGTATTGCCCTTAACCCAGGGTATAAACCTGCTAATAGCAGATGAAGGAGAGCAGGCCATCATGACTTTGTGTAAGTATACCTTTGATATCAGTAAATATCTGGTCTATTTTGAAACTGGAAGTAAAATATGTGAAGAAGACATTGGTGATTTTTTTTAAGTTCATTCCTTTAACTGAAATGTTGATGCAATTTTTTGAATGCCCCTGGTGATGACAACGTATGTCAAAAATAATCTACTTTGACTTTTGAATGCTGGGTTTGAGTGTGCAGGATTGGCCATCAGAAAACACTGTCTTAATTACTTACATAAATGGAGAAAATTTGATCTAGAAGTCATAAAGGTTGAGTAAACTTTACACTGGTGAAGATACTACTCACAAAATAGTTTGAAGAGCAGGCAATCCTGTGATCCATATTCCCAATATAGAAGGGAAGTTCCCTTGGTTCCAGGGGGCTTCAGACGAGTCCCTTTAAAACTGTAAGGAATTTGTACATTATCATCCACCCCACCTATTAAAATGAACATTATTAAAATGGATTATTTAGTTATTTCTATCCTCCTCTTATGAAAAATGACCAGAGTAATACATTCAGCATTCTTATTGCATGCGTAATTATTTATGTGGTCAGGCTCCATACCACAGTTATGAAACAAGATTCTTCAGGGCATTCCAGCAAATGTAACATCTGGAGAAAGGTTAAAAAAAAAAAGATGAGCTATATTTGCGGAGGGGTAAATGTATGCAGGATATAGTACACTGTATAACTGCATATGGAAAAATCTATTATTTGTTCAGACTAATTATATAGTAATAGGACTAACCTTCTGCTCTAATATCTTATCATCTTGTCACCTATATCCAGGAGGTGCTTGCTTGTAAAAGCATGTATGTGTTACAGAGGAAGGGCAGAATGAATATGGCCTTCTCAGCTGATGAATTCAGCTAATTAGCCTCCTCAACCCGTCCTTCTGCAACAAGGGACGAACGAAGGCTGAGCAGGCTTGCTTTTCGTTTCCTACAAGGGTAAATGACCTTCCTGTCGCTAAGGAAGAGCAAACTCGGCAAGCATGGCTTAAGATCTAGTGAATAAGTCTTGTACTTATTCTTATCATTTTGACAGCGCTCACAGCTAGAAAATGGACTCAGATTGAATCTAAGAGTCCACGTAAATTGCTATAGTTTCACTGCTGATCAGGCTCTGGAGGTTAAAGTTACATCAGCAGATATAGAATACCCATCTGATTTAACTGAATATATCCTCTACTAGTGGGTATTAAAGCCCAATCCTGAAAGCATATTAATATGAGTATACTTGCACCACAGTTGCATATAGAAAATGTTGGATTAACTGTGCTTATTATCTTAATTGCTTCTTGACTTGCACTTGATATAATCTTCAAACTGTCCATGTCTTTTTATTTTTTCATATCACCTCCTTTTGTCAAGGAGTATTACTAATCAGCTACATAGTCTTCACATTTTTCCCTTTGCTGGAGGTATGGATTATTCTCTCCTACTCTTGTCATCTGCCTCATCCATCTGCTTTACTTTGTCTCAAGTTGTAAAGGACTTTGCTTGGGCAAGTGACTGTCCTTTCCACATGGCCTACCTCACTGGCTTTTTTTCTCAGAGGGAAATAACCTGACATAACGATTTTAGAAATAACGGTAAGTACCTAAAGTAAATTTGGTACTTTATGAATAGAAATGGAGGCAGTATCTCTGCTTAGAAATAAAACAATTTAAAAATCAGAACAAAAAGGGAGGAGGAGAAAGTGATGAAAAATGGTTGATCATGTTCACGATCATGATGTGTATATCCCCACGTAAGGACTTGGACATATATCTTTATCCACATTCAACTGGTAACAGCTGAAGAAGTTACTCATCACTGCTTTCCTCTTCAGAAGGTAGTGAAAGCTCAGATGTGATAATACTCCTACTTGTGTGCGATTTCCAGAACCCCTTTTTAACAAAGCTTTAGGGTTCATACTGTCTAAACTAGCCGAACTCATTTTATCTGAAACAGGTTGGAGAGCAATCCATAAAGCAGATCTGGGCAAGGGATAAGTTAAGGTAAAGAGAAGGTTATGGCACTTAGAGGGTATAATGGTGTGATAATGTCATAATGGGATAGCTAGAGCCAGAATGGTCATCCACAGATTAAAGCCTTTTTTTTTTTTTAATGCTTAAAAAAATGTAGGTTTTGTACTAAAAAAATGCATACAGTTTTAAACGTGTGCATCTCTGAGTCTTTAAACAGGCTGTATTTATAATCATATTGATGCCATGTCAATACACTTTTCTGTCTGAACTGTCTGAAACCCTTCCATGGAAGCTTCTTGAATTTCTGGGGTTGGTACCTACATTTGAGGTAAATGTTCTTATGATGAGCCAGCATGTATTTATTTTTCATGGCACAGAGGTGGATGTGTCACTTGAAAGACACATTTTGAAACATTTTGTCTAGGCTCTGGTATTGCACACACAGAACAATCTGTGATTTGAATTCTTCATTTAAGCACTGCTGACTTCAGAGGACTAATTTGTTAACTATGATGAAAGGGCTGACCATTTACATAATGAAAAGCACGTTGAAGAGTGATTGGATGTGCACATCTGGATATGAAATTGGTGATGCTGGCTCTATAAAAGTATTCTAAAATGCACTTGTGCTATGCTCTAGTTGCTGCCGAGATCCATCTGTACACAGTTACATAACACCAGAGAGGCTGAATTACTTGCAATCAAGTGAATCCAACTGCTCCTAACGCAAAGCAGATGGAAGTTTTCTTAACACGCAGATTGTAGGATTATTGTACATCATAATTAAAGAAGGATTTTCAAATGTAGAAATTTGAACTGACATCATCTGTGATGCTCGTTATATTAGACTGAGACTGCTGGGTGTTGAATGATATCCAGGGTTTAAACTGGTGTGGTAACAAGATTTAAGCGCTGGATTTTCCTCAGGTTGATTTTAGATTTGTTCAACAGCTACAATATTGATTTTTATTTACTTGTAGCTAATTATATAACTAGATTTAGGAGAAAACCTCTTAAACTGTGAATGCAGTTTGTTGACCTAAGAATATTTTGTTACTACAGTCATCTGTGACAGACTAGCCTTTAAATTACAATTTATGACACCAGTGCATGCAGTTTGGCTTATGAGAGCCAAAGGCTTTTGAAAGGCTTTCAAAAAGAGCCTTTTTGAAATGACAAAACACTTACTTAAAATGCATAGGATAACCTGATAGAAAGATTTATATGTCAGCATAGCAGTTTTTTGTATGGCATATCCTAAAGTGACAAAATACTGCGCACTTAAATATTTAAGTTCCTAAAGTCTACCTAGAGCAACGTATCTAACACTTGGTTTGCTGATTTAGTCAGAAGATGCCAAATTTAATGAATCGGTCTTTCCTTCAATATACTATAAATGTTTTTTAAAAGATGATGTTATTAGGAGTAGAAACAACAGGAAATAACTGTCCTTCAGTGCTGCCCTGAGGAATTTCTATTAACTTTTAAAAAGACGCTTTTGTCCCTGAAATACGTGTTTGATATAACTGAAGATGACTTGGAATTACCTTTCCTGGATCTTCAGGGAAGCATGGAGATGGACAGAGACAGATCATACAACATAGATGCATGTGAATCAGTAAAGTCATACTGCTGTGGAGAAGGCAAACAGCATACTTCCATTATATCAGAATCCTGTAACTTATGCAAAATGATTCTGCTGTTGTAGTCAACACAAAAGAGCTCCGTTGAAGTCTTTGTCCAGTTTTAGGCATGATCCTGGAGAAGGGTAGTGGAGTAACTGGAAAGTTTCCACAGGAGAGTTCCAAAAATATTCAGAGACCCTGATTTAAAAGGAAAATGGACTGCACTGAAGTTACTAAACTGTAGAAGAAAACACTGAGAGACATGATAGCAGTCTTCAATATAGAAGAGGCTGCTCCAGAGATGAAGGAAATAAGTTTTCCATGATCTGTGACCATAGTGGATAGATACTAAGTTCAAGATGCAGCAAGGGAGATTGAGCTAGGCAATAGGGGAAGCTTTTTAGTGGTAAGGAGAGGGAAGCAGTGGAACAGGTTACTAAGTGATGCTGTGCAATTCCCATCATTGGATATATTTAAGCATATATATATATAAGCATAAATTAGATGAAAATCTGAATGACACAGATATAGGTGATCTTGCTTGGGATCAAAGGGACTCCACTGTATCAAAGCATGTTTGGAAACTATTTTCTGTGAGATCAGTTTTAGCTTAGAACTTTCAGATCCTTACGTATTCCTTCAATTTTTAAGTGAAATAAGGGAACCGTATTGAAGATTTTTTTTTAATAACAGTTTTATTATTGACAGAGATGAGCACTCAACTGTGAGCACTTCCGAAACTTCCATTCTCATCATCCCACCCACTTCCCCCTTCTTTGCTTCTGGCTGACCAAGCATTTTCTTTTTTACAGCTCCACCTATATATGGCTTCATTTTGTTCTGTAAATTGTTCAGATATTTTTGTCTGTATGTTCCTATTGCAGGTGTTCCACTGAAACCGCGGAAAGAGTTAAAATTCATAGAACTTCAGTCTGGAGACCTGGAGGTGAAGTGGTCTTCAAAATTCAATATTTCCATTGAGCCTGTGATCTATGTTGTTCAGAGGAGGTGGAATCAAGGAATCCATCCTAGTGAGGATGATGCTACTAACTGGCAAACTGTGGCACAGGTCAGTTCTTTGTAAAATGGTAAGGGTCATTAGCTTCCAGACAATGATCTGAAGGTCCTCTTCAGGTCAGAGAAGCGTTAGATCATATGATATACGGAGGATCTCTTTCCAAGGCCTCTCTATAAGTAAAGACACAGCCACAAATAGAATGCAGATCTCCCAGGCCTTACTCCACTGTTCCGTGAGCTTTTTTCAAGATTTATTTAGGAGAAATGAACTTCAATATTTTCACTTCAATGTTTTTGTATAGAAATATCAAATGCTTTTGACATTATAGGAAATGACAATGTTAGAAAAAGCTGTTAGTGTGAGTATATCAGCAAAGAAGTAATTACTTATTTCTTTCCTCTCCCCCAAAATAAAGAAGAATATTCAGAAGTTTATATTTTCAAAATGAACTAATTGTTGTTGCTGTTTCACTATAGGTAAACATGTTTAGATCTAGCTGGGTGCTTGATTTATATAAGCCTAGTGAGTGCTACTCTCTTGTAATCACATACTTAGGAGCCGTATTAAGATGGGAATTCCAAAGAAAGGCTCTCTAAAAGCCATGAAGCTCTTCAAAAATGTAGAATTAGATACCAAAATCTATTAAAGGAAGCACTTGAGAGACATAAGCCTTTTGAAGTCAGTGGGACTCATATTTAGTTTCCAAGGCATGGGTTGGCTCTTATCAAAATGGTAAGAAATATAATTGGTGAAAAGGCCATTTAATTTTAAATACAATACAAGGAAAATAAAAACACTACGACCTTTACTGTTTGTAAAGTAGCTTTTTCAGATATTGTCCTTCAAATTTAGAAAAGCCCATGATGTCATACTCTTATCACTTAGTGCAATTCAGGCTGAAAATGTAAGATTCATGAGCAAATGTTTCTTAATGAGAAGCAGCCAACAGAGCATAAATTTTCACTTAGTTCCTTCTCAGTTTCAATCTGTTTTTTAACATGCTGACAGTCCACCTGGATGGCAGAGTTCCAGTCGTTTATCTTAACTGTTTCACCCTCATCCCTGCTGACAAGAAAAGCAAAATGTTGATTTTGAAAAGACCTGCAAAATGTCATTACAGCTAGGAAAAAAAGTAAGATAGAGAAAATAGAACCATCCACAAAATACGGGAAGGAGTTTAGATTCTGTGACGATCCGTTTTCATTCTCAGTTCAGATTGTGTAGAAATAAGCTATCTTAAAATAATGTTTGGCTTGTGAAACTGAGCACTCAAAGCTGTAAGGTGGTACTACAGGAGTCTGTCACTATGTTACAGTCTTGCCCAGAAAAAGTAGTTGGTAGCAGAGCCAGACGTGAAACCCAACTTTTGCAAGTCCAAGGAAAAGTATGCACGTTCAAACCTGATCAAGTTGCGGTGACTTATTTATTATCTGTCAGCCGAGGTGCAGGTTTTCAATCTCTATCTTCTCCATATTCACCAAACAACTTCCTGCCACGGCTGCTAGAATGCCAAGTAGAATAAATAAACCAAATCTGAATTTCTCTTCACAGTTATTGTGCCATGTACACGTACTAGACTGCAGATGTACAGCTATTCTAGTTGGATGATCCAGACTACAAGGGGAGCGCACTGCTGCTCTTTTCTTATCGCAGGAATAGAGCTCGTGCACATTTCTGGAAGCATGTACTTCACAGTATATAGACTACACTATATAGAGAGCATATATAGATCTTTACCTTCTCGCAGTGTGTCTGCAGGAGAGCGTTTTCTAGAAATGTGTTCCCATACAAGAATAAGAATCCTGACAGCTGTCTTTCCTGAGGGTCTGTCACATGCAGGCAGAAGAGGCTGAATTAATCACTATGGCAGGAGAAGCCTACTCCAGCTGACATCTTTCTGAGAACTTCCCTGTCCCTTCTGCATCACAAGAGAGGCATGTGTGATTGTGTGATGGACCCCATTGGAGATGTCAGTTCAGAGCAAGCTTCAGGGTGCCTGATTGTCTTTGTGAAGTGTGTACACCTATGTACACCGTACAGGCTGGACACCCTTGAGGGGAGCTGGTAAATAAGAATTTCTGTCTCTGTAAAGGAGTGTGCTGCTATAGTAGTTTTAGATATTCCAGCCAGGTAGTCAAATCTGTTGTGTATGGCTGGGCACATTAAAGTTTATATTGTAATATCAGCCACAATGATGGATATCCAGTTTGACTAAAGGAACTATGTGCACGTGCTATGGGCTTTCCTTATTCTACATAATGGAGAATTTTACTCATATGCTCCAGGACACAGGTGTATGAGAACTGCAAAAATCTCAGTCATTCAGCTGAGAACTCCTGGGTTATCACAGTACAGGGAAGATGGTGCTGGCTCTTTCATTACTCTTGCAACTTTAGCTAGAGTGTGTGTGTAGAGCAGATAGTGATCAAGAAGGCTGCAGGCAAGGATATGAATTTCTGTATGCCTATATTTAGTATAATTATGCAAGGTTCTTGTTTTCATCTTCTTACAAAAAAAATCATGACATTTTGTCAGGGATCCGTCATCCGAAAATCTCATTTTTATTAGTTGTCCAAGAGGAAATGGGGCTATAGTTTTGAAGAACTATATTTTAAAGGATTTAATTTTCAAAAAAACTTGCTATTTTCCATTGCATGAAGCTTTAACATGAGTGAATTTGCTAATATATTCTCAAGTCTCACATAATGATTACATGCTGCCCTGTGCTCAGTCATTGTATGAAGTTGTACCCTAATGTAAATTCATGGGGACTTGCCCTTGGCTTCATTGAACTTTGGATGATGCTGAAGATGGACATGTTGGCCAGATTTTGGCCTCAGATTTTGTCTGAGGACTCCCTTATTATAGTATGTTAATACAAATCGCATGTGTAACAGGATTGGAAGCCAGCTTCAAAAACCTTTTCAAAAACCCAGCTTAAGCTAAAAAGACAAATGTGGGAATCTCAATGGGGAAAAATATGAGTAGCAGCAATACATGGGGCCTCAAACTCTGCACCAAGTATCAGTAAGAGAGCGGTCTATAGTACAGGTGTGAAAAGCTCTCTTTTACATAGGCACATACATGAGATATCTTAGTTTCCCTATATTTTGCATGTCACCAAATGAAGAGCTTAAGTACAGGTTAACATCTACAAATTTCAGTGGTCAGTGCTCTAAAAATACTACTGCTGAATAGCTGAAACACCTCCCTGAAGTTCTGCCTGTCTGGGTTTGGTCAGCCACTATTACTTTCTTGTAGAAATTGGAAACAGAGCAGTGAGCAGAAATTATGCTATGCCTTCTTTGGCAAGTACTTGGCATCACTGCAAGTAATATTGAATCCAATATAGGGAAGGTGATTGAAGTTAGGGAAAACAGAGCTTGTTAAAATAAATTAATGTCACCAATTTTTTAAAGAGTTTGCATGTTTGGTCAGTAATGATGATCAGTGTTGATTGTATAATATATTTAGACATACACAAGACATTCAATTTGGGTTCATGTGCTATTTTGATTAAAGAATTAAATTAAAACACAGTCAACATGACAGCTAAAATAATTTGAAAACTGGATAATTGAGAGGTAATTGTAAATATAAAATCAGCAACAAATGAATGAGTTTCTAATGAGTTGTACAAAAACTGATTCTTGATACTACTCTACGTATTTGGCAGTGCTTCAGTTGCTACCAGAAGGCTGTGTTCAATCCTGTTGTTCGTACCTTAGAAAAAAATTAGAAACAGTGCAGAAGAGAGCTATATATAGAAGATTAAAGGGGAAAAATGGCAGAGGAAAGCAGGGCTGAGAACGAGAGAGCTTAAAGTACCTCCTGCTGAAAGGGTTCGGAGTGCATCTATCCTTATTCCATATTTCTGTGGTTAAGGCACTCACCAAGAAAGCTGGAAACGAAGCTCAAGACAGTAGCAGTCTGAGCGAGTGTTGCTAGAGCAGAAGACATCTCCTATGATTTGAGAAAAGACTGCTGTAGAAAAGAGTTAAAGCTGTGAGTGTCATTTTGACATAGGTACCGAAGATCTGAAGAGGACTCACATTCACTACCTGACGGTTACTGTTTCTTATGAACCAGAAGAGGTAGCTTCTCACAGTGCTGGATTTTGTGAAGCCTGTTTGGAGCCCTAACTCTCCTTTCTCAGGACCAGGAGAAATGAGTCCTCTTACTTGGCACAGCACTTGATCTGATAGGCACTGTACAGTGGTAAAGGTTGTGATATCTGCAAAAGTAATTTTGTGAATTTAACACCTCAGTAGTTTTGTAAAGGTTGCTTTTCCAACTTAAACCCGAAGGAGACTTGCAATGCACTATAAAATTTGCTGGTTACATGATTTTATTCACAGCTGTAAATGTGTTGTGGTTCAGATTGACACTTAGAATAGGGCAAGGTAGTGACATACAGCTTGCCTACACTTAATATGTTTCTGCATATTTAAAGAAATGTGTCCTCTGCCTCTCAAGCTGACTGAACATAGGAGATAGCACAACTAAACAGGTCAGACCCAAAGAGTAAGTGTGACATTTTCCCCACCAGACTACAGATGAGCGGGTTCAGCTGTCGGACATCAGGGCAAGCAGGTGGTACCAGTTCCGGGTAGCAGCTGTGAACGTGCATGGGACAAGAGGCTTCACGGCACCCAGCAAGCACTTCCGCTCCTCGAAAGGTTAGTGTTCATTGCCACTGGCTGGTGCACACCTTTAGGTCGCTCATGTGGAATGCAGCCTGATCTGCTTATTTTGGGGGCAGAAGGCTTTTATCAGGTGGGTTTTTTTTTTTTTTTTTGGTAATTTTGCTATCAGGTTTAGAAATGGTGTGAGATTTACTTGAAATCAGCACACAAATTAAAGGTTGAAGACATCATTGTTCTTTTATCAGTAAAGGGTCTCCGTGAATGGGTCTCCTTTTAAACCTTTTCAGCCCTGTTGGTATCAGAATTGAGGTTCTGACAACATGGCTCCTATCATCCAACATGTAAGAACTGGGCTTTCAACATAAGTTATTCAAGAGGTTTCTTTTATTTTTCTTTTTCATTGTGAGAAGTATGTTCTTTCCGTATGCTCAGCAGAGATTATTGGAACATTGTGTTGCCTGTATTTAAATAATTGTAGCGACATTGTTTTGCTAGGACTGTGGACTGTCTTTACTAGCATACTTTCCCCTTGCTAGCATTGATCGTAAGGGCTTAGTGATAAAAAGGGTATAAGTGTTAAGTAGCATGTTTCTGTTCATTGGAAAGGCATGTCAGAGAATCCAAAAAGTATCGTAGAAATTTTGGTTGCTGTTATTAGTTTTACAAGGGATGTGTTCTGATGCTAAAATAACTTTGTAAATGGTGTTTATACTAGTAAATAGTACTCGAGGCAGGGATGGGAACTGAAAGTGGATCACTGCTCCTGTGAAGTGGTTGAAATTGTCTCTGATGCACCTTCGAGGCAAGCTAACTACAGTTTTCCCAGATGACTCTCAGGCACAGTGTAGGAGTTAGCATAGGCCAAGAATCGTTCACAACAGTCTGCGTGTGGTCACTCTGTGTTAGAGAGTTACTGATATGGGCATAGCCCGACCATGCTAGCTAGTTGACTTTATTGCCAAAGAATGAGACCTAGCACTGTTTACTTCACTAGTGTGGGCAAAGTTTCTGATAAATAGATTTCTCCTTGTCTGAGCACTGACCGAATCTTTATACTTTTATAATGCACACTTTCAGGAATGCTTTCTCTTCTCTTTCTGCAGAGTTTTCTTGTAGTGTAGGCAGTTGTCACGCTGGGTTGACATGCTAGTTTGTAGCTTGTTGCTTGGTCGTATTCAGTCCTAGAAAAAAAATCTTCCTGTAGATGCAGTTATACAGGCGTACAAGTGCTTCTGCTGGTGTGGTTTAATTGCTTACTGAATAAGTATAAGTTGAGATGGGTATTTTTTGGTGCTGCAACCACGTTTGTGCATTTTTGTCTGTTCATTGACATAGTTATCCTATTATTACTGTTACCACAAACCTTTTAAGGTATTAAACAAGTATTATTTTAAGAATTTACTGTACTTAAGTAGCATGCTGTTTCAGTCACATCAAAAATATAGTTCCTTCAGGCTGTGTTGAGCTTACTATAAGTGCTCAGCAGCAGCAGTAACTTTCTCTCTGCTTTTTTTTTTTTTTTCATGAGTTGCACTGTAGTAGGTATAGCACTGTGTTGCTGAACGTGATACTGACTTTCCTCTAAGCTCTGAATATACTTCAGCTGGTTTTCTGAGTTTCTAAAGAGTTTCCAACTATTCTGCTTGGAACTAGTAAAATTGCAATTACGTAAAAGTATATCATGATAACGCTGAGGTTTTGGCTTAAGCTTGACATTTTCGGGCAGAATTTTCAGGCTGGCCACAGGAGCATATGCTTCAAAATGCCTACACTGTTAATGAATGTAAGAACATCCATGTTAGGTCATACTGAAGGTCTTTATAGCCAAGTGTCTGACCCTAGCCAAAAGTGGGTGTCCCGAGAACAGTATAATAGCAGGGTGAGCGTATAGGGAGACTTCTTCAGAATAGTCTCCCAACTGGCAGTGATTTGTGTTTCAGGAGCTTATGGGTTTGAAGTGATTACATGTTAGGTACCAGAGTCCTCTTTTTTTTTTTTTCTGTGGTCTCTGCAGCTATTTCTCGAAGCACCTGTTCTCCTTGAGTGCTGCTCCTAGCTGTTTTGTAGGTGGAGAGTGCTTTTAGGACTCCGTGACAAGGACAGCAGGAGCTGACAGCACTTCTGCATGCTCTTAGAGAACATTCCAAAATAACAGAGATCTTGATAGAGGCAGAAAGTACATAACAAGCATCGCCCAGAAGGTTACTATGACCCTCACGATAGCAATTTTGAAATCTAAACTGAGGCCCTTGACAAAGAATTGTGAGTTGCCAAGCAAACAGCAAGGAGCTCCATTAGCTATCAGCTTCATAGACAGAATCATCTTAGTTTGGCAAATCATTTGACTATTTCAGAGGCTTTGTTGTTGTCAATGGCAGTTATAAATGCATCACGCATGCAAAACAAAATGCGTAGAATTGTTACGTAGCTCAAATAAAGATGCTGCTAGGTGGTGACTGTGAGGAACGATACTGAAACGCTTTAAGTATCTCTTAGTCTCGATGTCCCTGAGTAGGCACTTATAGCGGTGACAGTTATAGTGTCATACAGACATTTAACTACTCCTTTGGAGCTCTGTAGGAAGTGGTGGCCCCTGCCTGGCAGAGAGGCAAGAAACTGCTGCTCAGCTGATCAGCTGTGTGTAGTTTTTTGAGTGCCAGTATCTACTGGCTCCTGCTGAGCTCCTACAGGCGCATTTAACCTCTAGAGTGGAAAAGGAAAAAAGACTTTGGCACACCACCTTTGGAAGGTTGCTGACCATCTGTGGTACGTTTGTGTGAAGTGTGGACAGAAATTCACATTAGATCTTGTACTGTTTTAATTCCTCTCATTGAGCCAAGACCAAGAGAAGATTATTATATTTGTCAGACTTAACAGAAGTTTTCTTCAAGAAGAAAGGCTTTGATCAGGGAACATGACAGCAATTTCTAAGACAGCTTCTCGCACAAGATGCTGAACTTTCACCAGTTGCTCTTAAGTTATAATGAATAGCAATAGTTGTTTTCATTTTTTTGAAGGAAGACAAACATGATATATGATCTGAATCTAGGGAGGAGTATGGCACCACAGAGTCTCTGTCACTAAACATTTTAAGCTGTTAATAAGGACATTCAAAAACATTGGTACCATAATTATTTTAAAGAGAGACTTTTTGTCTGGTTACCACTATGCTGTTCATAATATTTTGTTTCTTTTGCAAATGCAAAAATATGATTTCTAAGAAGAGACAGCAAAATAAGATTGTTTTATTCAAAAGTGTTACGTGTTCTGAGGTGTGTAACTTAACATTAACTTTTTTGGTGCTAAATTAAACTCCTTGTTATCCAAATCAGTTTTATTGCACAGTGTTACAAAAAAAGACAAAAACAAGACAAAAGAACATTCCAGCTGTAATGAATCTACACCATTCTTCATCTCCTTGTTCTGAGTTTTTATCTATTGCAGCTGTTGATACTTCTGTACTGTGAACATTTGAAGTGAAAGTTTATTAGCTGTTTTGGCTCATATGTTCATTTGTGGCATTAATATGAAAATAATAAATAATCAGGGTGACACAGCTGAGATAATTTATGAAATATTCAGAAGTTCTGCAGGGATAAACCGTTTATTCATGCAGTTTATTTCTTTTTAAAAAATAAATGAAGGGTTTGCATGTGCCTGTCTGGTATGGCCCTTCACAAAGAACGAAGTGGTCTTTCACTTTACCAAAACACCATCCCAAAATGACAACATGCACAGATTAGACTATGCCTATCTTCTTGTATCGGAGTGGCTGGAAGATGAAGAAACTACTGTGCCTAGGAGAATGGTTATTTCATAAATGTAGGACTCTGCCCATGAATTTTCAAATTGATACTGTCAGCTAAAATTGATCAATAATTTTTTGATATTTTAACCTTCATTTCCACTTTACTTTTCTTTATTATTTTTTCTTTATTTATTTTCTTTATTATATTTGCTTTCCTTTTTGTCATCCATTGAGTGAGCAGCAACAATTTTTTTTTTAAAAAAAGGGAGGGAGGAGGGGGGGTTAAATTAGAGTCAATCTTGCTGTCACTTTTACAGCTCAGAATGGGAATTCCAGGTTCCAATGTCCTTATTTCCTTCTATAACATATATTTCAAATCATTTCTTGTGTTCATTACAGTTGCTACGCTTAAAAGCCAACATGGATGCATTTGAGAAGTATATGATGTGATTCTTGTGTATAACTTGCCCATACCGTTTTGTTAAGGTTGCAAAGCACTTCGGGATCTTAGTGAATGATGAAGAACTTTGTAAAATATAAAATGTCTATCTATATTTAAAAATATGAGCATGAGATTGTGCATTTTGAAACAGTGATGATCTGAGGATTTTTTTTTTTTTTGTCTTTTATTAGCAGGAAGGAATCCTCCCTTTTGTGGAGTGGACACAGAGTTTTGCTTATGATGGCTGAGTAGCCAGCAAGACAAGAATTTAAGTCCTTTGGGTGTACTCAAGGCAGATACAATGCAGACAAATGCAGTACTTGCTCCATGTACTGGAACAGCAGCCTCAGCTTTGACCTAATGAAGCTATCGTTCCTAGCAGTGAGAAGTGATTTACTTGTCAGGCTGCTGAGACTAGAATATTTTTCAGTTTTGAGGACAACTGTCTGTGCCAATTTCTAGTATATGTGTTCACTTTTATTTTACTTGAACTGTAGGAAAAACTGCAAAAGAACAGCTGCAACTAGCATCAGCCTCTCTGTAAACCAAAGGATTTAATTTAACATTCAGATAATTTATGTATATAAAATTTCAGAACTTTCAATTTGAGAAACTGGCAGCAGTTTCCATTCCAGTAATGTTCATGTATCCGAATTACACATGTGGACAGTCAAAGGTATCACAGATACATGAAGAGTAACAGCAGAATGGCTGTTAGCTTTATAGTCAGCAGAGTGACAGTTTAGCTTTATAGTCAGGTTAACAAACATCTTATGTATGTAGAGGTTCAGTATCCGGTGCCAGTTATTTTCGGCTTTGAAGTATTTCAGCAAATAAGTTGTGTTCTGCTTTTACTGTTTGCATAGACATAATCATAACAGAGCACCTTGTAGAAGCATGACTTTTTCATTCAATAATGCAATATTAAAGCCTTAAAAAATTTCAGAAAAAACATCTATTATCTGCTAACCAGCAGACACACATTACAGAAGAACATGTTGTTAAGGCTGTTGTCAATTATGTGAATTCTGTGTTTGTATTTAAGGATGAGTTTAGTGTCATATATATATATATATTTTTTTTTATCTATCTATCTGTTCAGAGATCACAGTATCTTGCCTTGCTGCTCTTTCTTCTCATTCATTTCTTTTACTGGTGAAATTAAATCTTTTCAAATTAAAGACAACCAGAATATCTCTTTTTCTGTGGCTCACAAAAATAATAGTTCTGTCAGTTGTAATAGCGATGAGCATCATAGAAATATGTAGATAAAGATGAACAAATTAAATAGTAATATTTCAATACTTTAAACAATATGGAGCAAATCCTCAGCTGATGTAAAATACTGACTAAGTGGCCTGATATTTCAGGTAATACACCCAAATTCCAGGCAGTATTTTACTACTGTATCCCATAATCATCCAGTTTTATGATTATAATCAAAACTGTGAGATAAATTATTTTTTATTCACCTTTGGCCATCTTACTTACTTTTAGATCATTATCTTCTCCGGCTTTAGTCTACTAGTTTTTTAAAAAGCCCTTCTAGAAAATACGCCGCTTTCAAATGTCTCCTCTTCTCATGTCTGTTAGCTGCAGAATTCCTTTCTTTTTGCCTTCTGCTACTCCCTCCACCACTCTTCCTCCTGTTCAAAGGCACTTTTGTGGATGACATTTATTAAGCTTGCAAAAGAGAGAAGAAAAGAGGCAGTTAGGAAAACATTTCTGCTATTGCTGATGCTGTATTGTTTCACATGTATATTCTCTCTAAGAGGATGTTCTTTGTTCCCTTAACTGATAGTTACCGATGAATTTTACATTCTCCCATGGCAAAGGAGAAAGATGGGTCATTTTTCTTTTAAATGTTGATCAGCATACTGTATGCTGCATGGACTGTCTGCTTCTAGTGAACACAGAAGAAATGCTACTGATATAGTGATGTTTTTCTTATCCTGTATAATTATAAAAAGTACAGGGTAAAATCCTGGAGCTATAGAAGTCAGAAGAAATTATCTATTGCCTTCAGCATGCACATAGTTCTTCTCCCTTACTGTTTTTGTTTCTATTTATGTCACTGGGAAAAATGAGGAGGTTTGGAGTTACCTGAAAGAAATTCCTGTGCTGCTGAGAAGTCATGTAAAAGCTCAATTCTGGTCAACTTTATACAGGGAAAAATACATATTATCTTGCATTCATGTGGGGCCAGAAAGAGAAGGTTTATCTCACTTGAAAAAGGATTTTGGAAGAAAAGATATTTGGTCATTTGCTTTTAGACCTATGAGAAGCTGGTGAATAGAAATTTAAAATATTTTTAAACATATAACATACTTTGCCCAGAGGAGCTATTTCATTTAACTTTTAGAAATTTTAAGAACTTAAAAGCTTTTTTAGATGCAGAATGAACACAAATGCATTTTACAGTTAGAATTGCTTTTTGCACATAGCTTGTATATCTGACCATTTCTGTAGACGGATTCTATGAAACTCTTTAATTCTGATCCAAATGTTATATATACATAATACATGTCGTATAGTACTTCTGGGAGATAATCTGAATAATTCACCTACAGGTAATACGATCATGTTGCGCTTCAGGGTATAAATGTTTTATTGTCATAAGACATTGTTCTGAAACATGAAAAGATAATTCAGTCTTCTGAATTGTGATTCTGATTATATTTATTGCATTTAAATGTCATTTAATGTCTACACTTATTTTGCTAAGTAATAGAAACAGACGATACGTTGCATTAGACGAATATCCAAGTCATTAGTCTATAATGAATTATGGAAATATGTCTCTCATATTTACCCCCTCCAATGAAAATACCTTTTAATATGTTTAACATAGAGTTTTGGGTATTTCACAAGTAAGAAAATAAGTGTAAGAACGGTGCTTTTCCAAAGCCAAAACAAGAAAAGAAACTGTTCTGCAAGATGGCCAAAAAAATGAGCAAGTAAAAAGAAATAAGGAATTCTCATTACTATGAAAAGTAAGTTGAATTTCCAGAATTCATGAACTCAAGCATGCTCTGTAACTTTTATGGCCAAAAGTTTGGTTAAATGGCATGTGAGGAAAAAGGAGCATCTATTGCTATTTAACTAAGCTGGCATGTGTGAAGAAACAGGAGCATCCATTGTTATTTAACTAAGACTCCTGCTAAATAACAGGAATAAGCCATTATTTCACATCTGTTGGTCTTTAAAAAGGAAGTGCTGTCTTATTAATTGTGAATGTGTCAGTTTGTATGGCCTAAGTGATGGAATTTTTCAATGAGACCATTTGTCATAGGGATTATCTAATGAATTTAGTATGCCTGGAAAGTTCATTTAACAGCTCATTTACAATTAGGAAAAGATTCAGGTGAACCATGCAGTAAACGAATGCCTGGTGTTCCCTTTGCAGACCTCCAGTTTTATTTCTGGCAGTAAGTGGTGGCTTATTCGGCTAAAAAATTATATGAAAATGATTATTTTAAATTACATTCTTTTTGTTAGCCACAGCTTCATAACATGCATAACAGAGAAGGACCTGGGAGTGCTGGTGGACAACAAGTTAAACATGAGCCAGCAGTGTGCCCTTGTGGCCAAGAAGGCCAGTGGTCTCCTGGAGTGCATTAGGCGGAGTGTTGCCAGCAGGTGGAGGGAGGTGCTCCTGCCCCTCAGCCCTGGGGAGGCCTCACCTGGAGTCCTGTGTCCAGTTCTGGACTCCCCAGGACAAGAGAGACATGGCACTATGGGACAGAGTCCAGCGGAGGGCTACCAAGATGATGAGGGGACTGGAGCATCTCTCCTCTGAAGAAAGGCTGAGAGAGCTGGGCCTGTTGAGCCTGGAGAAGAGAAGATTGAGAGGGGATCTCATCAACGTGTACAAGTATCTGAAGGGGGAGTGTCAAGAGGATGAGGCCAGCCTCTTCTCCGTGGTGCCCAGCAACAGGACAAGAGGCAATGGGCAGAAACTGAACCACAGGAAGTTCCATCTGAACCTGAGGAAAAACTTCTTCACTGTGAGGGTGCCTGAGCACTGGAACAGGTTGCCCAGAGAGGTTGTGGAGTCTCCTTCGCTGGAGATATTCAAAACCCGTCTGGATGTGATCCTGGGCAATGTGCTCTAGAGGACCCTGCTTGAGCAGGGAGGTTGGACTAGATGATCTCCAGAGGTCCCTTCCAACCTAAACGATTCTGTGATTCTGTGATTCTGTGCCTTCGTTGCTATGAATTTCCTTTGCTCTACCTGATAAACTTCTAAATGTAATTTTCTTTGAATCATACTATTTGCTTAAACATTTTTTTTGAAGTTTTATTATATTTTTCCCACTATATGTTTGACTATCACAGGCATTTAAAAATATAAGCTTTTTGAAGTCTACTTGTTTCAATAAATTGTGAAATAAATATATAGCCACCTTCACTCTTGATAATAACATCTATTATTATAATTCGAAGATTAGATTGAGAATCCTAATAAAAACTAAGGTTTACTTAAAAGCAGATTTGACTTTCAAAAGCTCCTTGGCAAAATTCCCATGAATTCACATGACTCAGAGCATAAATGCTAGGTCCACAAGAAGGACAAAGGTTCAGTATTGGAATCTTTTGAGTATCAGGTATCATTCTGTCCAGTGGAGTGCTCAGTCCAAAACCATGGCCTAAATATTCCTTACCATGGGTAGGACACTATACAGCAAATACTGTATGGAGCCATCTGGGATAGCTTTTAAAAATATAGAGGAGAAGCTCTTAGTCACTTTTTGTTCAGAGATTTCTAAACTGAAGCTCTAAAGAGGTTAATTGTTTTTACCAGAGGGAAGATAGGGAGGCATTTGGATGGACTCTTAAGACTCTTAAACTTCAAAGCTTTGGAGCATAGACTTAAGATTCGGAGCATCTTGGAGCACTCCCATGTCAAAAAATGGACAATTGGAGGACAATTGGAGGAATAATATTTCAATATCGGTATATTCAGTATCCACCACCATAGGTATTAAACGCTTCTTTAGAATAAAAATTGACAAGATGTAACGATATATTATTTATCTGATAGAAGTCTGTCTTATTATTATAAAAAAAAAAAAACAGTTATCCCTGTGACTTACTTCACTATTCTGACTTAATTTCTGGACAGTGTGAAGCCCTGTCTGTGGACTGTGGATACCAAGACAAGAATTTTGAAGAAAGCAATAACATGTAGAAACACACGGTTTTACTATCGGAGAATCTCTGGCAACACCGAACAAAATATTCAAAGTTCCTACTGTTTGAATCAGAAATGATATATAAGGCCACATATAGCACATGACCTTTTTACACACAATATCATAGATAGAAAGCAGTGAATGCCAAAAGTAAAACTAAGAGTCTGATAAAACTTTGTAATGTTTCTGCAGATACCAAAAACATTCACAGAATAATCACACTTCTAAATGTAAATGCATAATTTTTGTTTTAGAAGAGCTTAGATTTCTAGAATTTGCAAGAAGCAATATCACTTATGGGAAATTTTTGCATAAATTTTCTTAAGTGTATTGAGTATGTTTAATCCAGCTAGTGTATGACTGGTAAATACATAAGATGAAGATGATCTTTACTGAAGATGATCTTTACCTTAGCATCTTTTTGTTGATTTGTTTTAAATTCCAGATCCATCTGCTCCACCAGCCCCATCTAATATCAGAATTGTCAATATCAGTGCAAACAATGATGGAAGTGTGAATGTAGTGATTACTTGGGATCTTCTGGAAGAGCCTGATATCCCAGTGCACCACTACAAAGTCTTCTGGAGCTGGACATATAGCAAATATGTGATCCCAGCTAAAAAAAAGAGAAGGAAGATTACTGATGGGGTAAGAAAGAAAATAGCAAATGAGACAGAAATGTAGCTATGTATTCTGGAATTTTCAAATCTTTTTCCAACGCAAAAGAAAGTGTAAGTAGCAAAGATGTGATAAGTTGCAATGATTTCAAAATGTGGAGAAGTAATTGTCTTAATTTTTAAGATCACTGACTTTACAGACAATTTAAGCATCTCAGTGTTCATACTCAATCTAATACTTCCTTGAACTCCAGGAGAGAAATAGATCTCCTCTCCCTTAGAATGCAGATGAATACCAAAAGAATTTACAGGAGAGATGAACAGAAAGTTAAATGTTGTTTGTCCTCTAAAGCAAAGCTTATTTTACTAGTGCTTCTAAAAGATATAGTGCTTATTTTGTTTAGAAACCCAAATGTCATCTATCACGTTATTCTTGCAATATACCAAATAATATTTGATATTGAATTTAAACACTATTGACTAATATAGAGTAACCGTTAAATAATCACAATTTATGTAGGTCCAAGAAAATAAAATACTTCTTAGAAAATCTACTGTAGCAAAGATCTGAAAAATTTCCATAGCAGCAAGTCCCAGTAAGTTTTTTGGTGGAAGTATCTTATATTGGTTTACTGAAAAACTATTTGATATGATATCTTTAAGCACACTGTACTGTATTTCAAAGTAGTTAACAGAAATAGAATTCCATCACAGATAATGAGCTCGACTTTATTCTCAGTTGTTTTAATATACCCATTATGTGAATTCTGTCCTATGTCTGTTAGCACTGTCTTTTTGGCTCTGGTTAACCTCTTGCATTGTGGTGAATGGCAGCCAGAGCATTATAGTTCCCTCACCAAACCCTGAGAAAAATGAAAGCAATGAAGATTGTGTCCCGAGTTCGTTGACTGCAGATCGGAAGGAGCAGAGTTGCCACTATGGGAGCATCCCAGACTCCCCTTCTCATGGGAACTGACAAGGGATCGAGTCAGGAGGCTTCAGAGCCACAGTCACCAGCCCTATGCTGGAGAAGAAGGAAAAGGGAATTTGCCAGCAATTGTAAATAATACGGAGTCATTTCAGGGACTAGAATAACTTAATTCTTTACTTTTACTTCAGTTAAATAGCTATTTTTAAAAAAATCTTGGGTAAACATATCACAGAATCACAGAATGAAAAAAGGCAAGTTAGTTCTATGTTATATTTGTACTTTTTAAAAATCACTTTGGCAAGATAGGAGTAGAGTTGGGACTGTGTTAGGTAGAAAAGTTTGTGTTTTCCAGGAAAGCTACCATTGGCTGGAGATCTTCATATTGGAGTCTAAAGTCTAAAAATGCAGAGAAGCTTTCCTTCCACAAGCTGATCCTTAAATCACAAAAAAATAGAGAGCTGTAAAATGAGCTGGGTCCTTAGTATTGTGCTGGTCCTATGTGTAGGGTGTATGCCACGTACAAGTGTGCTAAACAGATCCATTATACAATATTAAAGTAACTGAGACCAAGTTCTGGCCTTAAATATAGGGAAGTCCAGAAGATGCAAAGACATTTTAGAGAAAATATAGGTTTTTAGAATCTCTCTCCTATCTCATTGTACTTTTTATTCTGCAGCATATCATGAAATTGTACAGCAACACCAATGAGAATCAGGCTTCCCCCCTAGGATACTCCAGAGGCTACTTCTAGTCAACGATCCTTAGACTGTTATAGCAACTCTTTGGTCTAAAAATTGAAAACTTAAAAAAAAATAATTGCAAAGACAGAAAGATCTTATCTTTTAAAGATCATTGAAGATTTTTTTTATCCAGTTTTAACCTTTAGAAGTAGTCTAGTCTAAATCATTCTTTAATAGATTTCCATATGAAATCAACTCAGATAGACGTGCAAATATTTTAGCTACAATATTTAGAAATAAGCACTGTTAATGAAAAGTTGTAATCAATGTTATAAATAGCACAAAACAAGTAAAAGTATTTGATATGAAATGCCTTGGACGATCCCTCAACTGTTAAAAATGGCAGCACATAGCTGTGTTTTTCACTCTGGATTGTCTGTCAAACTTCAGATGAGGCAGAAAGAATTATAATAAAAGCATGGACTAAAACTTTTGTCTGAGATATGGGATAGAATAGAGTTTTTTATGTACACTTAACAAAAATTTAGAAATGTAAGAATATTGAGAGGCCTTGTCTCTTCTTTGCAATATCATGGGACTTGCCTTAGTTTATGGATTATTAACTGGAGAATGATAATCCTACTCATGTGTTTCTCTGTTCAGTGACAATGGAAAACTGTATTTTTCTTTCCTCATTATATAGAAGAGAAGAATCCGTAAGGGTGAGGGTTATTTTTTGTTTGATTATTCTTTCTTTTTTTTTTTTTTAACAGTTGAAACTAATAGAGAATTGTGACCAGTGTGCTGATTACTGTATTCTAGGTGTCTTCAGACTAGCTGCCTCTAGACAAAAGTTTCCAGTTGCTTTGCTAAAACAGTTTATCCAGAAGTTTAGGCATAAAGAATTTAAATTTGTTTGACTAAAAATATTTTTGACATTTAAAAAAATCTTTTTATATATAACAAATAAATTTAGTCTTGGCCTTAACAGTAGGTGTCTGTATTTACCAAGAAACTGCCAAAATTCTGTAAACATCAGTAAGGTTTGTACGTTAAGAAAGGCAAACAAAAACAGAGTCCAAAAAAATAATTTTTAAAAAACATTAAATTGTGCTCTGTTGAAATTTATACGTGACCTTTTTTAATTTCAGAAGAGTAGCATGCCTAAGATAACAGGCCTGCTTTTAATAAGAGCCTGTGTTTCGGTAATATTGTTAACTGCTTTGTATATATATTCCCCTCTATTATAGCCCCAAAATTATGTGGTCCTGGAGGGACTCCAACCTAACAGCAACTACAATGTGGAACTGCAGGCAGTAACACGCTGGGGTCAGATACGCCTAAAAAGTGCTAAGGTTTCTCTCCATTTTAGCACGACTCAGGACTCCGGGAATAATAGTGAGTAACTGCATTCAAACATATGAGTGCTTTATATTTGCTTTATCTATAATTTTAATATTTTATATAATAATTTTTCAGATTAAAAAAAATTTTTAAAGCTAGCTGTTTGATAACATAGTGATCTTTTCTTGGTCAAGTTGAGTAACTTTCTGATGCTAAATTGGTAATCGGTTTTGCCTAAGTCTTTGTCTTAGGTGCTACTTAAATAAAATAAATAAGTGCAATGAAAACAGGAGCATTTTCATGACTGTGATGCTAGTGTTTTTAAAATATAATTCAGGGACAAATACTCATTGCGTGCCTCAGGGGCTGGATTAAATCTCTTTTTGTATCTCTGTCTTAACTGGACAGTTTTAGCTTTCAATGCTTTTTAAAATCCTGGCTATTCAGAATCCCAGACCACATAAATATATACCTCCTAGGAACTGACATGACACATTGACTCTTCTATTAAGGAATGTAAAATGTTCCATGCCTGACAAGAAATTAATTTTAAATATACTATTGCATGGGTAGGATCCGAATTAAAAGTAAGATTTTGAGATCTTTAGATATCAAGATGTTTCTTGTTAAGATCTTTAGATCCTCGCATGCTGAGTAATATACTTGAAATTGTAACTCAATCTAAATGTAAACCATGGTTTTTAGTCTTAGTTAAATGCTATTTGTATAGTTATAATAGGCAAATTGCAATACTGAGTTACTGTCCCAACTGCTGATGCTTCTCTGATTAGCCAATACGGCAAATTTCTGGTAATAAGATGACCATGTCATTTTAAATATTCTTTCCTACCTCTCTTTCATCTTCCCTTTTCTCATTCATTTTTCCTTCTTATAGTACAATCAAGTTTTCAACTTTACTGGAACCATTTCCATAGCATAATTGTTATTCTGTATTCCTGTTCTGCCTAAGCAAGCAGTATCATTGCAGGACCTTTCTGCGCACATACTCCATTTAGATATCATAAAATATTTTAAAGTAGTTGTTAGCTGTGACGGACCTTCATATCGACAGTTGCTTCCTATTTTAATGTAGCAGGAAGGTAAAACAGATCTAAAGATCCTTTGTTTTTCCATGCCAAGCACATTTTTACTACATATTTGGGCCGTCTTAAAAGGCAACAGGGGGCCAAGCTTTCATCTCTTCAGTGCACTGAGTCTTTGCCTGAAATCCATACTAGAATATGATCTTGAATCTCCACGTTGTGGCCATAAGGCAAGTTCAGGCTTAATGCACAGTAAAACACAATGTAAGTGAACCCAAGCATTCTGCTCTTCTCATGTTGACTCATCTGAACTGTACCTGTATTTTCTATCTATCATCCCCCAGAAAAGTGATCTTGTTTTCAGCACTGTTTATGATATTAAAAACTTCTCTGAGTTAGCATATTTAGTTTTCCTTTCTTCTGTTAAAGTTGCACAGGGGATGTTAATAGAAGTAAAACTAAACTTCATTGGGAACTGGCTGGTTAATTCCAGTATACTCAATCACTAAGTTCAACTAGAAGTGCATCAATTGTGTTTATAAGAGGTGTGCTCATTTTTCAAAGTATTTTCCTAAGAGTGTTTTTTTGTTTTGTGTAGTTTTTTTTATCAAACATATTTTGCTAGATGAACAGGCTAAATGTAACCTCTTGATGCAGCAGATTTCTGCATTCTTCCTGATCTTCTTGTCTCTTCTGATCAGAAGTTTCTGTGAAGTTCTGGATTTCGGTGCTAAACTTTAAGGTGTCTAGTTTCCAGTCCAGTCATCTAAACAGGCATTTCTCCAGACTATATCACAACTCTGAGAGAAAGCGTGTAGCTGAGTTTACTTCATGTAGAAACCATGTCACAGGAGAATGCTGGTGTCTGGATTTCACCTGAATCTGAAGCTGAGCTGTGTCCTGGTATCTAGGAGGGAAGCCCTGGTGTCAGTGTGTAGATCTAATCAAAGTGACATTTGGCACACTGTTGAATTTCTTTCTCTCATAATAATATAAGAGTAGCCTTGTAAGCTTTCCCCTTTCAGGAGCAGGACTAATTAATCAACTGATGTTTGTCAAGCTTTGAGTCCTGTTGTAAGATCAGATTATCGTAGTCTTTTAATACATTATTAAATGAAGACTTTCTATATAACGGAACGTATTCCTCGTGTATTTGGGGACTTCCATGGTCAGGCTGCCTTTGAGAAGTAGTTCTGGAAGCACCACGCCAATTTTGCTGAAGTCCCATTTTGAATTGCTCAGCTCTCTGGGAAAAGAGGTCTTTTTTTGATAGATATTCAAGTTGTCAGAACAGAGATCGCTCCATACCCCACTGAAGTAATTTAGCCTTGTAGACTTCTGTGTGCTTTTGCTCTGGCCCTCAGGAATTATATTTTCCCACACTCAGAAATATGTTACTTCATCATATTCACGTTGCTTGTCTGCTTCACTTCTCGCAAATGTAGCAAGATTCTCTCTCTCTCGATCGGTATATAGAAATATTCTAAACCAGTGTCCTAGGTGTTCCGGAAGTGGAGCAGACAGAGAAAAGAAAAGCATAGACTTAGTAAAATGAAAACACTTTCAACTGAGGTACATCTAATGGATTCAAGTTTGTACTTCTCTCTATTGCTTCATGATTTCCTTTTAAATAACCAATATAATGGTTACCTTGAGAAAGAATTTGCATATGATTGGTAGTTTTTCTTTCATTTGAAAGAGGCAAAGAAAACATAAAAGTCTATCAGGCTAAGGAAAGGATTAAAAAAGTAAAATATGGCCAAAAAGCAATTAGAGTTTTAGTTAAAGCTTATATGTAGGGCGAAACATTCCAATCTCTGTGTTTCTCATGTTAACTATAGAAACCTGAGTCTTTCCTTCTTTCTCTCAAATATGTAGTTGATAATTTGCCACTTCCAAATTACTGAAATCTTTACTTTTCAGTTAGGTGTAGTATTCAATTAAATGCAGCTTTTTGTTAATCTCGTGCAAATACTGTCCTCTAAATTGGAACTGATATATTTGCAAGTGTGCAATGAATCAGCACTACTTCTTTTAAACGGAAAACGTCTAGGGATACTCACCTATTCTAAATATTGTCAACTCTTCTAAATGTTCTTAATTTGTTGCCAGGTGAAATATTTAAGAAAGAAATCTGTTTACCATTCCTTGTTGGAAGTTAGGCACGTATACTGAGGGAATCACTCAAATTTCACTCTAGTCTTATAATGTTTTCCTAAATATTCACTGTTCACTGTTGGAAACAAGGGAAGTGGGCTAGAAAGATCTTTAATCTGACCAGAGTGTTCTTACATATTATGGCAAAGGAATGTATTTACTTTGATGTAATAACCACATGTTGCACTCTATGGGTTACACTCAGTCCTGTCCTTTGGTTTTGTGTATATTCAAACACTTTGTGAACAGCAAGAGCATGCATGATTATGTAAAACTACTGTTAGATACCATATGTATTAAAAATTCAAAATGTTAATATTTCTTGCTCTTGGGGTTATAAATACATTGCTTTTATGATTGTTTTGAAAATTTACAAGCATTTTCCACATTAAAGTACATTATCTTTTTTTCTCTCTCTGTCTAAAATACCTTTATTTGACCATATATCAAGCAAATGATTCGCCCATTATGTCTATTAGTTCTTTATGTCACTTTCTTTCAGGTAAGATATTGAAATAAAATAGTTTTAATCGAAGACAGTATTTATTTTCTGACTATCAACAGCACTAGCACAGTCATTAGGTTGCACTATGCTAAAATAAATAATTTCCTTTTTTTTTTTTGTTTTTATTTTGTGTCGTGCAGAAGAACAGATGTCTTCTGTTGTGAAACCCCAGAAAGGACTGGTAGATCCTTTCCCAACCTTTCAAAGAAGAAAACCCACTCGATTTCTTAAAATTGGAACTCCCTTCTATCAGGACAATCAACTTCAGGTCAAAGTCTACTGGAAGAAGACAGGTTTGTGGCATTTTTTTGCTCTTTTTTTTTTTTTCCTAAGGTGGAACTATCACAACTTGTCTCAGAGTTGGAGAACATTGCTCAGATATAATGAACTCATCAAGTCATTCCTACCAAAGTCAAACCCTACACCTGTCCTTCCAGTCATTCACCTTTGTGTTACAGTGAAGCATTGCCTCTTCTTTTTGTCTTATGTGTATATAAATATCTAACAGAAGTTAAATAACATGAATCAGCCTTCCAGAACTGTAGTCAGCCATCTTGGGACACAAAATCTTTCTACAGTTAAGATGATTTTTAGTTCGGTAGATGCTGCTTCTGTAAAGTTTTGAACAGGGAACCAGAGCTTGGCCTTAAGTTGTATCTAACTTTTGTGAATGTGAATATTGTTTCACTGGCGTGAGGTCAGAGGGTCTCAAGAACATACAGTTCGCATTTTCTTCCTGATGTCACTGGAGCATGTCAAATTTGGTCAGCTGAGAAATAAGTTAGGAAATGAGTGTATATGGAAATTATGCTGTGGTATCACAAAATTTAGACTGTAGCCTGTACCACAACAGTTAGAGCTGTACTGGCTGAGGTTAGGGCCCATATGGGTTTCATATCAAACTCTAAAACATTATCAGCCACCCTGAAGACAGATCTGGATTAATAGTTTGCCAGAGTCATTGGGAAAATCTGTACTTTAAAGTAGTTTTATGCTAGGCTTCAGCCCTCTGTTTTGCAGAAAGTCTAGTGGCAACAGTGATTTTATGTTTTAATCTTCGAGTCTAAAGGAAAACGTCATAAATTTTAAGTACCTGGTGAGGTTTAGAAGTCAAAAAGGGATTTTCCTTTCTTGTCCTCTAGAAGGAAATAGATTGTTACGCACTTTTCCAGCTTTGCGATGCAGCTTCATATGGTATTATTTGAAAAGGCGCTAACACTGTTAGTGTTTTAAATCAGAGCAGTCTGCACGTGTAGAGGTAACACATGTGTAACATCCATTCAATTTTTGTGTTTGAAATAAAGGACTACAGAATGGAAAATCACCTATTCCTCTGGAATTTTTCAAAGGATTTTAGAACTGCTTATGTTCTTTTGGGTTTAGGTGTATGCAGCACCAGTCTGATTGAGGGAAGGTTATGCTATGTAACATGAGTCTGTCACACTGCCTAGTGTGGATGTGTATCCTTTGCTTCTTAAAAAATGCCTGCATGTTTAAGTGGCCATCTTTCTAGGCCTGCCATATCAAAACCCTTTTGAATCAAATGCTTATTCCTTCAAAATATCTGCAAGCTCTTGTTCGGCCATACCACACACAAATTTTGAATATTTGTCCCCTATCCTAGCCATCTATGTCAGTTTTCTTTTTTTCTAGCCTTCCCCATTACATTTCATTTTTGCCTAACTTCATGGAAAGCTGAGATACTCTAAAGTTCAAATGAAAATTGGGGCATTTTTAATCATGAATTAGTAAGTTCACCTAATAATATACTTTCAGTTATCCAAAGTGAGATATTTGTATTCTGAGCTTGGGATTGATCTCATTGAACTTTAGCCTCTGTAAATGAGATGTCTAGTCTAAGCTAGTTGTGTATGCTCCTTTTATAGTCAAAAAAAAAAAAAAAGCAAGTGGTTTCAGAAGCAGTTCATCCCACTCAGGAGATGAATCATGAAGCTAGATGATTAGCTCAGACTAGGCACCTCATTTGTAGAAGGCTTAGAGATGCTTGGCATCTCTCTGTAAGCTTAAGTTCATTTCTGAACAGTTGGAACTCAAAAATTTGAGAGGCAAGGCTCACAAATGAGGAGGCTAAGATGTCTCTCTAAAGTGTAAGGCAAAGTTGTACAGCCCAATAGAACAGTCAATCCAGCCTCAGCTCTTTTGCTGCCAACCTGTTTCCCAAAGAAAGATCGTGAAGATCGTGTGTCATATAACCAAAATACCAGCCCCCCCGCAGTGAAATGCACCTTACTTGTAGAGTCCAAGTCACTGTTATAGTCAGTGGAGATACACTCATTATGACCAGCACAGTTTGGAGAGATATTCTTTCTCCAAAGGAGATATCTTGAACTGGCTATCCACTGATTATAATGACAACTTAGACATTGCAATTAAAAGTAGACATTACTTTTTGGAGACCTAAATGTTGATGTCTAAATCTGCAGCTGAATCACACCCTGTGTTACATAACTTACTGTTATGTAGTGTAGGAAGCATTAGGAAGTGGTGAAATCACTGTTGGTGGTTTTCAAAGACAGATATGGCAGACATCTGTTAGAAATGACATGGGTTTAAGTGCTATTGCCTTGGGCAAGGGATGGACTGGTTGAGTTCTTGAGTTTCTAGCTGACTGTAATTTTGTATGAATCTTTGTATATCCAGTTATATAAGGGGAACACACAGAAGTCCATTTTGGTCATGTAGTGGGAGCAAGGTCAGTCATGTGAGTTAGGATGTATAAATGGATGCCCTCATCATGCAATGGAAGTTGCCTTCATATTTGTTACATAATGAATAGTGATAGCATAGATGTGTGAAGGACAGCATATGGCAGTTTGCCCCGTCCCCTCTCCTCCCTCCCTTTCTTCCCTCCCTCTCTCTCCTTCCTCCCTCTCCTCCCTCTCCTGCAAAAAAAGTCTGTGTTCTGAATGACAGCGTCTACAGTAACTCAGCAAGAGCCGTTGCCTCATGTGAAGATGGAATAGAGCTTGTTACCTGCTCCAGAGAAGCTAGCAGCTCCTATAAGCTGTTACAGGAGCTTGCAGGTTATGCAGTGCATGGACAAAATATTGACTGTAGATTTACTAGTGACAGTGTACTGTAGGGCGAGTTTTTTCCGAGTGCTTGTCGGAACACAGCAGGAGAAACAGATTAGCTGTATCTTGTGTTTAGGAAAGACAGTGGTTACTGGTCCTGACTGAGTTTGAAACTGTAGCCACACTTCTTTCTCCTTTATGTACTGCACTATATTAAACAGTGTTTAGGGATTTGTAGGAGGTATAAGGGGGCAGCAACTATAAGAGGAGATACGGAGAGAGAATTTACCTAGTGTACTCTAGCTTGTCATCTAGGTTATTTTTATTGCAGATAGGCAATCAAAGTTCATATCTTTCTGCATTGGGGAACTGACCTCTCTACCTCCTCCATGGTGGACGAAAGCGAGAGTCCCTGTTGATTGTTCTAATAGGCTCATTATTTTGTAGTTTACAATTAAAACAACGCAAAGCCTTTTCAGTGCAGGAATGCAGCCGTTCTGTAGTCCCAAATAGGATGTATGACTTCAAAAGAAGTAACAATTGCAAAAGTATCATGAAACCATGTGAAGTAAGTATACTGATAATGTTGAGAATTCCCATGACATACGAAGAAATACTAGTCTCAAGCTTGAAGGTGCTGGACATCTGTAAGTTAAGTACAGTTTCAGTTGGTTGTGATAATCTTTACTTTGTCAGATTCTGTTTTGAAGTTCTGTACCTTCTGCAATAGTATTCATGGTCCTAACCAGAGCAGGCTGCATGTCAGTGGTGATGAAATAATTATTTTATAAAGATTTTGAGGATCTTTTAAGATGAGAACTTTTAAACCAGTATGAGATGTTGATATAGAGTGTCTTTTAGCAGTAATGAATAATTTAACAACTACTAAGAGAGAAGTTTTTCACTTTATAAGAATAATGTTATTAATCTTCTATAGTAATAGCTGCTAATAAATCTTTGTTGTATGCCTGAATTCAGTGGTGCTATCATTGTACTTAGACCTGGGAAGATTTTTTGGAATTCTGTCCAGAACCAAGATGGCTCTATAGAAGTGTTGTACATTGCCTCCTAATGCTGTAGAATGAAAGCATATCACTAATTACAGAAGCATACAGAAGGAATAGCCTGTGTGGATTTCAAGGCAGTCTCTCTTAACACTGAAGACAAACATATTTTTAAGGTTGTTATAGATTATTTCTTTATTTTCATTGGTTTGTTTGTTAGTTTACAAACTATTTTACTTTTGAATTTGAATCATTTTACTTTGCCTAGAAAGGGCAAAATAGACTAGAATCATAAAATAATCTAGGCTGGAAGGGACCTCTGGAGGTCATCTGGTCCAATCATCTGCTCAAAGGAGAACTAACTTTGAAGTTAAATCAAAGGCCCTATCTTGAAAACCCTACAATAGACATTGTTATTGCTTTATCAGTGACAAGGAGTTTTTCCTTAACCTTATGAATACTAGGCTGCAGAGGCCAACAAACAGTTTACTTCAATGGTTGATAAAGTTTCTGGGGGCATGATGATGTTTCTTGAAATTCAAAAATACCTCTTCCATTACTACAAACAAGATGTATTCGTCAGTGTCATTTACAGGTGCGCCTCTAGGAAGCCAGTGAAAGGAAACAATGATAATGTCGAGGTTAAAGTTCTTGTTTTCATGTCCCTCTGAACAGAATTAATCAGACTTCTGTGCAACAACAGAAATAGAGGGAATGTTGCAAACTATTACTGAACTGGCTTTATTATATGCTACAGAAATGGCTGCTTTGGTACTCAAACCAAATGCAGTGCTTGAGTTAAAATCTGAGTAAGTGTATAGATGATCCTGTTTCCATATATATGGGCCATAATGTGCTTCAGTTTGTCAGCAGAAAAGACTTACTTTGGCCTGTTCTTCAAGTGTTGTTTCTCATGTCCCATTAGCTTCAGTAAGCATGAGGCATGAATGGAATGTAGGATCTGGACTTTACATTAAAATAAATCTCTTTCTGAAACAATCTTTCAATCTGAATGCCTCCGTACGATGGCAATAATTTCTTCACTTCAGGATATATGTTAGCAAGAGTAACTCCATACTTCAGGCAGTACAAGGTGCTTAGATAATGTGCAGAATTTTACTAGACATAGTTAACCCCAAAGCTTATTGTAATTATATGAACACAATGGCTTCTTGTCTGAAAGAAGAAAATGTCTTTCACTTGCTGCCTCTGACTTAGGCCTGGGATTAGAGAAACACAGTACATTCCTTAAAC